AGAGAACTGTTAGAAATCCATCAAATATCTATGATGAATTTCTCCTCAATGACAATAAATTATGAGAACAAAAAAAAATGAAGAAGACAATTATTTTCTGCAGAGTTTCTCTCTGCCCACAAATTGTGAAAAACTTTGGTATTCACTTGCAACCGTAAATTCTGTGAATACAACTTAATTGACTTGCTTACAAAAAATAAGGGTTACTCCCTCTATTTATAACTGAGCTTGTACCCTAAGCCCAAAGCCCAAAATATCTATTTTGTTACTAAATCAAATTTAATTTATTATAGACTTAAATCAAATCTATTTAAATCTAAAACAAATCAAATCTTTTCGACACTATGAATTACAATTTAACACACCACCTAATTCATTGTGTCTAAACTATCTATGTTCATCATGACTCTTAGTCTTCTGAATACTTCGACTTGCACTCCCTTCGTCATAATGTCTGCAATTTGATTCTCAGTTCTGCAGTGTTCCAAATTCATCTTCCCATCTGTTACCTGCTCTCGAAGATAATGGAGCCTCATTTCGATGTGCTTGCTTCGACCATGTGTTATTGGGTTCTTTGCTAGATTAATGGATGACATGTTGTATATCTTCATGGTAATTGCTCCATGATCTTTCCTTATTATCTCTTCGACTAAGTTTACCATCCAAGTTGCTTGACATGCACAAAGAGAAGCAGTTATGTATTTTACTTCGCCTGATGATAATGCCACTACTGGTTCCTTTCTTGAATTCCAAGCAACTGGTGCACCACCTAGCATAAACACATATCCTGTTGTTGACTTTCGATCTTCAGCATCACTACACCAACTCGAATCAGTGTATCCCACTAACTTGCATTCTTTTCCTTTATCAACTGCAGGAAACAAAATTCCATAACCGAAAGTTCCTTTGAGATACCTCAATATCCTTTTTACTGCTGCTAGATGTGATACCTTTGGCTTCTGCATGAATCTACTTACCATACCTACACTGTATACTAAGTCAGACCTTGTATGACAAAGATATCTTAATGATCCAATAAGTCTTCTGTATTGGGTTGGATCAACATCATCTTTATCTGCATCTTTCGATAGTTGCAGTTTTGGTTCTGCAGGTGTCGAAGTTGAGTTGCATTCTTCCATCTCAAACCTCTTGAGAATTTCTCCTGTATATCTTCTTTGATGCATCATCAAACCTCTATTGCTCTTGTATAATTCGATTCCAAGGAAATATGAAATCTCACCCAAATTATAAATTTTGAATTCCTTGCTGAGATCACCTTTGAGGTTTTCGATCTCACTTTTACAATTACCTGTTATCAACAAATCATCTATATAGAGACATAGTATAAGAAACTCATTCTCGCTTCTTCTTACATATACTCCATGTTCAGTTGTGCACTTTATAAATTTCTTCTCCCTTAGGAAACTATCAATTTTCTTATTTCAAGTTCTTGGAGCTTGTTTCAATCCATATAGGGCTTTATGCAGCTTGTACACTTTTCTTTCTTCATCATGTCTCACAAACCCAACTGGTTGTTTAACATAAATTTATTCTTCTAAGGGTCCATTTAGGAATGCACACTTCATGTCCATATGACATATGTGCCAACTATTTATTTCTGCTAGACCAACAACCAACCTGATTGTTTCGATCCTAGCAACAGGTGCAAAAACTTCATCGAAGTCTATTCCTTCTTTTTTTAGAAATCCTTTCGCCACAAGCATTGCTTTGTGTCGAGTTACTTCCCCTTTAGAATTTGTTTTCACTTTGTCTACCCACTTGACATCAATTGTCTTCTTACCTTCAGGAAATTCGACAAGTGACCAAGTGTTGTTATCTTCGATAGACTTTACTTCTTCGTTCATTGCTTTCACTCACTTTGAATCCTTCAATGCTTCAGCTGCATTAACAGGTTCGACATCTACATAGAAAGCATAATGTACTGGTTCACCTTCATTATCTATTACATCATCTGATGTAATCACACAATCTTGCAATCTTGCAGGCATGCATCTTGTTCTTTGAGGTCTGCTTGTACTTGGTATATCCGCTGGTTCCTCTTATCGAACTTCTCTTTCGACTTGAGTTTCTGGTTCTTCGAATATGATTTCCACTGAATCTTTCTTGACATTTTCAGTCCAATCCCATTCTTTAAACTCATATATGATCACGTCCCTGCTGATCACAATCTTCTTGTTCTCTGGATCGAACAACTTGTAGCCTCCTGTCGAATGATATCCAACTAGAATCATTTGACTTAACTTGTCATCAAGTTTTCCTCTCAACTGATCTGACACATATCTATATGCAATAGATACAAATACCTTCAGATGACTCAAGCTAGGCTTCACACTAGACCAACATTCTTCTGGAGTGATTCCTTCTAGCTTCTTCGTGGGACATCTGTTCAAAATGTATGTTGCAGTCGAAACAGTTTCACCCCAAAATTCTTTAGGTAAATTCTTGCCTTTCAACATACTTCGTACCATATTCATGATGATCCGATTCTTCCTTTCTATAATTCCATTTTTTGTGTAGTATAGGGTGGCACCACCTCATGCACAATCCCTTCTTTTTCACATAGTCTGTCGAAGTCTTTCGACACATATTCTCCACCATCATCAGTTCTCAAAACTTTGATCTTTCGACCACTTTGTCTTTCGACCATAGACTTAAACTTGGTAAATACTTCGATCACTTCACTTTTCTTCTTGATCAGATAAGTCCATAGCTTTTGACTGAAATCATCTATGAATGTAACAAAATATTTGTTTCCTCCCATCGAATCCACCTGGATTGGTCCACATACATTAAAGTATATGACTTCAAGAATAGCCTTCGACCTTCTTCCTGCATCCTTGCTGAAGCTATTCTTGTGTTGCTTCGCTTGCACACATTCCTCACATACTTCATTTGGAATGTCAATTTCAGGCAATCCTGAAACTATATTTTCTCTCCTCAAATCTCTGATGTCTTTGAAGTTGAGATGGCCTAGTCTATAATGCCATATTCATTCATCTCTGTTAGCTGCAGTCGAAAGGCACTTATGCTCCATCATATTTAGTTCAATCTTGAAGGTTCGATTCTGAGACATAGGAGCCTTCAAGATTAATCTCTCATTTGTATCAATGATCATCTTATCTTCGATTGACACTTTATAGTTCTTTTTGACCAACTGCCCTATACTGAGCAAATTGCTCTTCATGCTTGATATGTACAAAACATTGGAGATTACTGACCTTTTTCTATCTTTCCTCATAATCATAACATCACCAATACTTTTAGCTGCTAGGGTATTGTCATTTACAAATTTTACCATATTTTTCATTGAGGGCTTTATATTGACAAACCAGTCTTTCCTTCCAGACATATGTGATGAGCATCCTGAGTCCAAGTACCAATGGTCCTTGAATCTATCTTCATCTTTTGTTGTGACCATCAGCATCATCTCTTATTCTTCATGTTTTGCAAACTTTGCATCACTTTCTTGATTCTTTCGTTTTTCTGGACAATCACTCGAATAGTGACCATACTTCTGATAATCATAACATTGAATGTGACTCTTATCATGTTTTCGACCACCACCTCTTTCTCTATTTGCAACACCACCTCTTTGGTTGCCTTGGTATGGTTTTCTTTGATTCGACACGTTTCTTTCGATTTGGTTTCCTCTACCATTCGATTTATTATAGCCACCTCTACCTCTGTCGAAACACTTTCCTTTGCCTTTGATCTCTTCAATCGTTCTTGATTGATACTTCCCTTGAATCGAAACAAAACTCTGATACCAAATGTTGGAAATCCATCAAATATCTATGATGAATTTCTCCTCAATGACAATGAATTATGAGAACGAAAAGAAAAGAAAAAAAACAATTATTTTCTGCAGAGTCTCTCTCTGCCCACAAACTGTGAAAAACTTTGTTATTCACTTACAACCGCAAATTCTGTGAATACAACTTAATTGACTTGCTTACAAAAAATAAGGGTTACTCCCTCTATTTATAACTGAGCTTGTACCCTAAGCCCAAAGCCCAAAATATATATTTTGTTACTATATCAAATTTAATCTATTCTAGACTTAAATCAAATCTTTTTAAATTTAAAACAAATCAAATCTTTTCGACACTATGAATTACAATTTAACAAGAACAAGAAAATAATTAAGAAAATAATTGAGTGAAGAGGATTCAAACAAGTTTGAAGATGAGAGGAAAAAAAAAACAATAAGGATCATGAAACACTTATGATATAGATAAATCTTAAAACAAAACATTAATTATTTGTAAAATGCATCCTTACGACTATAATATTCTCATAATTTAAACAGAAGAATAAATGTAGCAACACCCTAAATAATTAAATAAAAAATTAGGTTATAAATAAAAAAAAATGATATAAATGATTTATATATTAACTATAGAATTGTAAAAATATAAAAATTTGGCGGGTGAAGGAATTAGGAAAGTCATAGAGCTCTCATTCGCACCGCCAAATAGTTTTCCTCAACAAACCCTTTCTCAAAATCAAACCCATTCTTTTTGTGGACCAGCTGACAAGGTTTGTGCTCTGCATTTTGTTTTCAGACAACTAGATACGTTGTTGTTTTCTCATCAGTAGTACTTCAAGCATAGGGTTTGTTTGGATTGTTTTATTTAAGCTTATCTACTTCAATAAACACTTGTCACACTCTTTCATTTTACTTTTTTTTCTGTTATAGAGAATAGCTTATACATAATCACTTAAGTTGTTTATCCAAGTAGGACCTTATTTGGTAAAGGTTGAGCTTATGATTCTGGATTTTGTTAGTGGCTGTGAAGCAACTAGAGAAAGGTGATGGTATGAGGATTTTAGCTGCAGAAATGTACATTTTTGGGAAAATCAGACATAGAATTATGCTTAAATTTTATGCTTGTTTTTTAAAGGAGGAACCAATCTTTTAGTTTTTGAGTATATGCCAAATAGTAATCTTTTTGAAGCTCTTCATAGAAATATAAAAGATGAGAAGGTTTATTGGCATTGGAATCAGAGATATAAATTGCATTGGGAGCTGCAATAGGGATTTGCTATTTGTACCACGATTGTTCTCCACCTGTTATTCACAGGGATATAAAATCTAGCTGCATCTTGCTTGATGAAGATTATGAGGCAAAAAGTGCTGAATTCGGTGTTACAAGGTTTGCTGGGAGACATGGTTATATTGCTCCAGGTATGTTACTGTCTGTAGTTTCAAAAGTATCTCATGTTTTATTTACACAATCATTATTTGTGACATTTTATTATTAGCATTTGCGGATTTGAACCCCTGTAGTCAGGAAATCCCCCATATGCCGCGGCCTTACAAGGTCAGATGTGAGACATCGGATCTTGATCAGATGGTCCAAAATGCACGACTGTCAATTTTGTGATTTCATAATTGCAAATGATACAAATCCATAATGATTCTACAAAGGCAGCATAAAAGTATTGAGGTATCTGCAACATCGTATTTTCCGTATTTTCCTACCATATAAATGTTTGCAACATAACCGTAACTGTAACGTCGGTTTAAAACCATGCAAGTAAGCCAACTATAACAAACGAATGGCGAATATGGAAGAACAATGTATAACATATAGACATGAGCTGGATTCAGTTAATCTTCTCCTTTATTACTCACTTACTTATTAAAACAAGGAATATATTTTTTCTTATAAAATTAAGATAGACATGTCTGAAACAAAACATTTTCTATATGAAATTGTAATGTAGATTAGGACTAAATAATTAATGGCATCTTATTGATAATCTTAACGTCCATTACTTTTCTGGATTTAATGCTGCTAGAATGCTAAGTATGAGGAAGCATTAGAGAAATTTGATTCTGTTTTGGGAACAAAGCCAGAACTTGAAGAAGCAACATTCACAAGTTATAATGTTGCTTGTTGATACTCTTAAGCTGAATCAGGTATGCATTTAACTATTTCTTCATTGGTTTTGAATCATTTTGCTGAATGTATTTAGTTTCGTATAACTTTCTGAATAGATTTAATCCTTCTATATATATGTGAGTAATTCGGTCCTATAATCTCTCTCTTTCTCTCTCTCTCTCTCTCTCTCTCTCTCTCTCTCTCTATATATATATATATATATATATATATATATATATATATATATATATATATATATATATATATATATATATATATATATATATATATATATATATATATATATATATATATATATATATATATATATATATATATATATATATATATATATATATATATATATATATATATATATATATATATATATATATATATATATATATATATATATATATATATATATATATATATATATATATATATATATATATATATATATATATATATATATATATATAACCACAACATTTAAGAAAGCATGTTCCAACTTAATATTAGACCAATTATGATCCATTTAAGTCGCACATTGGGTAGAACAGCACACAAGCAAGTGTTTATAAATGTCTTACATGCTGCTTAGTCCGCCGAGCTGAGTAGCGACAGCTTGTGACCCATGTGGGGGCATCAAGGAGATGGAACATGGCTAAGGCTTAACTGGTTGGTCTGGTGGTTGCACCATGCTGGCCTGCCCGCTCCAAGTTGCGAGTTGACCCACAGGACTTGTGCGAAGGCGTGGGTCTTGGGGATCTTAGACAGGAGGGTATAGCGTGAGGCTGGTTTCACAGAGCAGCGAATACTTCTTACTCCTGACAGTGGAAGGATAACAGGCCGCTGCACCTCCAGCCCACAACACCTGTTGAGCCTAGCACCTGAACCATCTCTTTTTTTGGTTCATATGGTGCCACCCAACAAGCTAAGAAAATTATTGTAGAAAATCCTGGTATATACTAAGCTTATTCAAACACAGCCAAGTTAATTTGTTGTTGTTTTTTAAATAGGGTCCTCCTGATGTCTTATGTATTTAATCAAACAATATATTAATAAAGTAATCAATTTTTCAAACAGATTCAAGGGGCACTTTCTACACTTGATGAAGCTCTAAATTCTGGTTTTGAAGACTTTAAGTTGATAACTATAATAACTCTATTTATCAATACCATCAAATCAATTTTTATTCTCTAGCTATGTTGGCAGGATTTCTCAAATCATTTATCCCCTGCTATATTACCTGTTTTTATTCAACACTCCTTTAAATGGCTCGGTCGCACTCTTCTAAAAATTTGAGTTATGTATATGTTATGAATGGTTAAACTTTCCCATAAAATCTTTTCATATATTTTGCATTGTTTGTGTCTTTTCATATCTTTTAGAATGTTTATATATATGAAGGATAAACATTAGTAAACACATTTGAGTCAAGGGGTTCAGTGTGAAGACAAGGAAATCAGTAAATTCTTTCTGAAAATTTGATACTAGAGTAGGAAGGGGCTGCGCGAACGCAAGACCCCACTGCAACAAATTATGATGTAGGTTCCACCACTTGGGTAGACCTTAGGATAGCACCCTTCCTAAGTGCAATGGAAGATACTCTCCTAGGCCATGATCCTTCATGATCAACCATTGACCCCATCCAGGTAAGTATGTTTAAATGTGGGTATTCAAGTTCTTTTATACTCTTGCTTATCTTAATAGCTTTTACTTTCTTTTGACGTGGGACTCAACTACCAGTAGGATTGATCGACAAAAGGGTGCAAGTTGGTAGTGATTGTCAGTGGTGTAACTTGGAGTTGGAGACAGCAGAGCAGGTGCTGCTGCAGTGTAATAAGAGCATTCAGACTGCTGCTAGGTAGCAACATTGGAGTGAAAATCTTTCACATATTAAATGCACCGTCAAAGGAGAAAGGGAGTATCTTTGCTATGATATTATGGAGTTTGTGGAAGAGTAGGAATTCATCAACTACCATTAAGCAATGTATTTCCCAACTTATGTAAGATTGCAGGCCCATAAAGAACACAGTGAGAGGATTTTTCCTAGGCCTTTGATAAGTCCTGAGGATATCTTCCCTGACATTTCAACTATTGCCCAATTGCTTTTTACATCCACTACTTTGTTATATGTTGGATGCTGATATAGTCTGCTTCTAATCATTCCTTTCAAGTTTGACATTGTCCTTCAAAGAGCTCAATCAAAATGGATAGAGTAACTTGCTTCTATTCATTCCTTTCAAGTTTGACATTATGCTTCCAAAAACTCAATCAAAAAGAACAGAAAGGTATGAGTTGAAAATACTCCAGAGTCCATGGTACTTACAAATCAATATACCATATTGATTATTCAAAAACTCGAAGAAATTAAAGATTGGATCTGACTAGCAAGAAAACATACGAAGGAAGAACTCCCAATGGAAGGGTATAGCGTGAGGCTGGTTTCAGAGAGCAGCGAACAGTTCCGAAGAACATCATACCCAGCAACATTCTTTCTTGCCTGGTGAAAACTTTCACTTGGAAGTGGTACTGTTTTTTTCCTTTTTAGTTAGTATAGTAGCAATTAAGTTGACTCTTTTGGTCTAGGTTGTGGGAACCCTCTTTATGCATCACCAGAAATGTGTGCTTTTAGACTCTCAAGGTTCTGGGAATAATCGGAAAATAACCACATTTATCGGTGGTCTGGATCTATGTGATCGCAGAGATGATACACCTGAGCATAGGATTTTTCATGATCTTGATACTGTCTTTCATAATGATTTTCATAATCCTACTTTTCAAGTAAGTTCTTACTCAACACTAAAGATTATGTCTTCTTCACAACATTGTCATAGCTTATATGCTTTTACACATATTTTATTGTCAATTATCTTCCGATTGTTCAACTCCTTTTTCTTTGATCTGATTTTGTGAAATTGTTCTGATGAGGTTATTTTATTGTTATTACAATAAAAAAGGCTTAATCTTTGATATTAGAATAGAAGGGGACCACACAAAAGACCCTCAATGCAACAAATTATGACGTAGGTTTCACCACTTGGGTAGACCTTATGATATCATCCATTACCCGCCTTCCAAAATTGCTTACCAATTAGTGTAAGATTGATAGGTAAAAAGGTGCAGGCTGGGATTGATCGTCACTGGTGTAAAGTGGAGTCGGAGACAGCAGAGCACGTGCCGCTGCTGTGCAATAAGAGCATTCAGACTTGGCAAAATCTGGACAGTCGAGACACAGCGCATGCAATGCTGCTAAATAGAAACATTTGGACAGAAAATCTTTCACATATTAAAGGCACTGTCAAAGTAGGAATAGTGTATGTTTGCTATGATATTATGGAGGAGTAGGAGTTCATCAATTTGGTACAATAAATAAGAGTGAGCAGCAGATGTAATACATCGGAGGGAGTTGTTTACAAGACAGCAGGTGCAACATAAAATGGCAACGTCCTCCTCAAAATTATATAAGTGCAAAGTTGATGTCTCGTTCTCAAAGTACCACACCAGTGTATGGGAAGGAGTTGGTTATGTTCCTGGGAGCCAAAACTGCACGGCTGCAACCAGTTATGACAGTTGATATCAAAGAATTAGGCATGTTAGCAGCGTTGGAGTCAGTGCGAGAGCTGGCCTTTAAGCAAGTTGTTTTGTACGTGGATTCTAAAAGGGATGTGGAAACTTTCAGCTCGGCTATGCCTGGATTATAACGTGTTTTTACATTCAAATCAAAATATATCAACAGAAAAATATGATTTCTGCAATAATGTCAACAGAAAAGAAGATTATAGTTTGAACTAGGTTTGATGGGGTGTTCCAAGCTATTGCAAGTTTGGCACTGTCCTTCTAAAAAAAAAAAACAATATTAAACCTCTATTTAATATTTTCAGGCTTAGTGGAGTTTCTAGTAGATATTTCATGTTTAGAAAAAAGGATTTATATATTTTTCTTGTTTTATAGGTTCATTCTTTTGTTTAGTTACTTACTATCATTTGTCTGTTATTCATGTTTTGGGATTTTTTGGTTGAACTGCTGTATGTGATATTTTTAAAGTTTCCTTGACTCTATCTTGTCATTGATGGAAGCTTATTTTCAAACATTTCCACACCTTTTCTTAATGACCTATGGAAAACTGAAGCCACCGAAGCCCAACACACGGCTATGTTCCAAAGAGTTTTTGGGTTCAAACTTGACTCTTTGTGTGACAGGACCACCAAACATACCAATTGATTTCTTTAGCTAGAGTCACTATCCAATATCACTTCTTATGAATTTTTGCACTCCAAAGTGTTGAGAGATCATAAATTTGAACACTTGAGAAACCCAATAGCAAGCTATTGTAGTGATCACTCTCCCTCAAGAAATAAATTTAATATCATGTGGACTATTGACTCACATATCAGATATTAAACTGATAAGAACAAATACTATACTTGATCTTAGCCAAAAGGCCGAGAAAGGTACGAGTTGAAATGCATGCTTGTTGTGTGTTTTATATCTAACATATATTTATGTTTCTTCCTTCCTTAAGCGAGGTGAGACTCTTGCATCAATGTTAACCTCATTCCTTATTTTTACTTCACTCATCCCACCATGCTTTCTTGTCTTTATTCATTTATAAATGACAGTTTCAATATTAGTGAACTATTTTTAAGAATGAATGTTAATTATTTTAAAGAATGTCTTCATTATTTTTCATAAGTTTTTCAATAAAGAACTATTCTTTTAAGGATTAGTTCTCTATTTTGATAAACTATTTCTCTAAACATTAAAAACATTGTAGGACAGTGACTATGGATTCAAGTTTTATTGTGAATAATTGATGAAACGTGATTTGTTTGTTTTGTGTAGGGGAAATTAGGATCAATTTGTTGTGTGCTTGTGAATTTATCTTTGTGAGGAGTTTGGTTTGATTGTTGACGTGTTGATTTAAATAAGATAAATACATTATGGCGTATTTTACACTATAAGTTTGATTTAAATACGATAAATAAATTATGACGTTATTATCAATATAGA